TTTTGGATGGTTTTTGGCGGTTTTTCCCGCGCGATGCCAGCGTCGCGCTGCTCACGGACAGGTTATCCCTTCCCTCCCGCTAGATGGATGGGATCAGGCATCACTCGAAAATGGCGCCGAAAGCGCCGAGGCTCCTCATTCAAATTCGTTAGAGCCAACCCCGCCGCCCCGGGGCATGCCGGGAACGCGGGCTGTCTCCACAGCTGTGGGCCCGCCGCCCCCCCCATCCCGCGACCCTGTTGCGCATGCGGAAACCTCGACCGCCCCCGCCCGCGGCGCATGCGCAGAACCGCCGTGGCGCAAGTCTCTCCACTTCCCTGGTTCCAGTCCCCTGTGTGCCTCGCGCGTGCGTGTGTGCTCGGGTCGCCCCTGCGCCGCAGTGGAGGCGTTCACCTTTCGGACGCCACTCCGGGAACACACCAGCACTTTGCTATGGGCGGAAACAACTTGGGGTCCGTCTGGAGCGTTTCATTAAGAAAGAAAATTAAAGAAAAGAAAAAAAAAAAAAAACAAAAACAGAAACCGCTTTTAAGTAAACTCCAAACCACCCGGTGCGCCTCCCGCTGCACGGGCGCTCTCGCCCCGCGCCGGCGCCTCGCAGATCCGTCTCCCCTAAGCCTCGAACCGCTCGCAGGAGGTAGGAACTGCGCGGCGCAGCCAGCCAGCGCGGCTGTCACACCCTGGGGCGGGCAGCCGCCGCTCCCCTCCTCCCCCCAGGCCCGGGGCGCGGACCCGCCCTCCGGCCGCACGGCTGGCGCCCAAGCTTTCGGTTCTGGTTCGGAGACGGAGAGGTACAGCGGTTGGGACGTCACCGGGGTAGTTCACAAAAATAACAATAACGGTGTGGTAAAGTGTGGAGCCACTCGCTAGGTCTCCGCCGTGTGAAGCCCTGAAAAAGTTGCAAGGGCCCCTGGATACTTGCTGATAGTGTAGTAGGCGACGTATCGAACGCGCTGTGGATCAGGCGCTGCCCACAGCACCTCTGTGAAGTAGGTATTTTTTTTGGTTTTACAGATAATGATACCTGATGTTCCGATTAGAAGTTCTGCCGTCTTACAGCTGGTGAGGGCACAAGAGCAAGGCAAACCGCCTTTAAAATCGGCTCTACAACAGGACAAAAAAAAAAAAAAAAAAAAAAAAAAGATGAAGTTAATATTTTGACACTTTCCTTACAAAAGCATCTTCTCATCCTTTGCTTGTAAGACATCCTCCCCTGCCGCTAGGCTAATTAAGAGGAAAATTTTTAAAAGAAAACTGTCACTGCTCCTGAGTATAGTTTAGGGTTGTGTTTGGTTACAGTTTCCTTAATTCTCACAGATTTTTAAAAATTATTTTCTCAGAGTGTTTTGCCTACACGTATGTATGTGCACCCCACATGTGCCCTCAAGTAGCAAAAGAGGGTGTGGGATTCCCAGGAACTGGACTCAGGGATGGCTGGGATCCACAGTGTTGAAACTAAGCCTGGATCCTCTGCAAAATCAACAAGTGCTCTTAACTGCCGAGCTCTCTCCCCAGTCTTATCAAATGAATTTAAAATAAAAATCAGGACTATTACTATGTCTACGTTTGCTCTAGTTTTTATCATAAAACAACTTATGATGAATCATAACTTAAAAAAAAAATACGGCGTTCAGTCTGGCCTAAAACTCTGCTTTGTAGACCAGGCTGATAATCCTCCTGCTTCAGTCACTTGAGTGCTGAGATTGATTACAGGTTGTGCGGCCACACCCTGCAGAACTGTAACTTTTGAACATAAAAAGATGTATCTTGTTATGGGTGTTAAAACCGTGGCTATGAGCCTTTTTTGGGTATTAAATACGAAAGAGTAAAGTAACTGGAGAAGGCTTCATGGTTTGCGTTGTTGAGGTACAGCTGGAAAAGAGGTGGATTTTAGCAATCAGATCAAGCTGATTAGTAGTAGTTATCTGTATTAGCTCCGACTAAAACATGTGGAGACTTTTTTTTTTTTTTTAGAATATTTGAGACCCGCCTTGTTTAAAATCTTAACAAACCATTAATCTTTACTGAGACACTAAAATGGGAGAAACCAAAATCAAGTTAACAAAGTGGGGGAAAATTATCTTTCCACCACAAGAGGGTGCAAATTTCCTGGGTTAAATTTCAAAGGAAAAAAAAAAAAAAAGAGGAAAAAAAGGGGGGGGGGATTTTCTAAAAGATCATCACACTCACAAAGAAAATACTTGGAAGAATCTAGTTTGAATTTTACAACTCTAGAACATGATGTACCTTATGAGACTAAAGAATCCCACAGTTTAGGTAGTGATTAATATTTGGGTTCCAGGGTATAAATTTCCAGCTGTTTTCTACAAAGGCATAATGACCACTGTCATACCAACTTCCATCCACTTAGTTTAGGCTTCTGCATACTCTTGTCATAGAATAGAACCTAAGTCATATTTAAAATCTGGTACTTTTAGTTTTGCAATCTGGAATGCAATCATCAGGAAATGGATGGTGAATGTAGAAGTGAAATGAATGGTGAATGTGGAAAACAGAGCTTGAAATTTCAGTACTTTTTTTTTCCCCATCCTACTGTTCGTAATGTGTAAGCTACAACTGATGGAATGGTGACTTTAACATATTAACCTATTTAGTTAAAACTGTAAAAGCATCATTGTTCAGAAATGACTCAGAGCTGAGCATGGTGGCACAGGCCTTTAATCCCAGCACCAGAGGTGAAGCCTGGTCAACAAAGTGAGTCCAGAACAGCCAAGGGCTAAACAGAGAAACCCTGTCTCAAAAAAACAAAAGACTCAGATATCAGAATCCGGAAACATTTGAAAGGTAACTTGAAAACAACACACAAGCAAATTATTTAAAAACCAGAGGTTTGCATCCTTACTTCTTTCTTTTGTGCTTCCTTTCTTCTAGACAGGCTCCTCACTATGTAGCTCTGGCTATCCTGGAACTCACTTGTAGACCAGGTTGGCCTCAAAGTCAGAGATCTGTCTGCTCCTGCTTCCCCAGTACTGGGAGTAAAAGTGTGCACCACTATGCCCAGCTTATTCAGAATTTTCAGTACCCTTTTATGTACCTGTTGTTTCTTTAAAATGAACTTGAAAAAAACAAAGTAGAAATTCAAACTTGTAAAAAGTTTCAGGTTATTAGATCATGCATTCATGTGCTGCCTCTTGTGGATAGATGAGTTCCCTTTCTCACTAAATACACGTTATCTCACCCCTCTCCTTTTTGTAGGCAGACATGGGTCCTAGCTCTTCACTTCTGTGTTCCTGGGGGTGCATTTCCTGACAGCTGGTAAGTGTACACTGGAACAGTATTCTTACCATCATGTTTCAGCTTTGGAGGGTGGCGCTTTATAGCATTCCTCCCTCAATTACAGTAGCCTATCTGGGGCCTGGTGATGTACTTAATTGTCAGATTTGTTTTAGCAGCCTTTGCTCTGAAAATTTTCCAGTCTTTGCCCTTTTAAGTCCTTGATGAATTTGAGGGATACAGCTTCAAGGGATACAGTATGAAACTGTATCCCTCCATGTTCTGGAAGGGAGCTACACATGGTTTTAGAAGAATGTTCATTCTGTGTTTGTTTACTCAAAATCAGATGGAGATCATGCATTGTCAGCCGATCACTGCACAAATTCTGTTGCCTGTTTCTTAGAGTATCACTTCTAGAACATGATATCCATTTCTTACTGATGACCATAGTTTTGATCACCTTGTCAAAGTATGACCTGAACTTTCTACTGTGTAGTTACTGTCTATTTTTTCCCCTTCCTGGAAATAGAAAGCAGTATGTGGGGAGCCTTTTGACATTATAGCCTGCCCATCAGAAGTTCCTGATACACTCTACAGGATGGATGCAAGACGACTTAGCAAATCTATAGCCCCTCCACATTTTCAGCCCACAGCATTCTCCTGTAAACAAAGCCCTTCTGTTTTCTCTACTTACCTGTTCACTACCTACATGAGTAGTTTTTGAACTCCTGTCTTTCCATTCTGTATTTGCTTATTCTCATTTATGACTTCCCTCTACAAATATTTTCTAAAATTCAGAGTTTTTTAAAAATATGTACAAGTGCCTTGCCTATGTGTATGTGTGTACACCACGTGTGTCTGTTGTCTTTAGAGGTCAGAAGATGGTACCAGAACCTCTGGAACTGGAGTTGTGAGCCACCTTATGGGTACTAGGAGCCAAACCAAGGTCCTCTGCAAGAGTAGCAAGTGTTCTTAACTGCTGAGCCATCTCTCCAGCTACTTGGCCTATACTTTTATTATCTATTTAGGCACAGTTTTTGTTTTTTTTTTCCTGAATCGCTTGAGGTAGGTTACATGTATCATTGCCTTTCACCTCTAATGCTAAACTGTGTATTTAGCTATTTTGATATTCAAATTGCCTTATGTGTAGCAAGTGGAGGTGCTTCTTGTGGCTTCTGTTAATGTTGCTTCATTTGTTTTGAAGCACTCCTTTACTTGCTTGTACAATGAGGCAGTAGGTGTTTATTGGTGTAACCTTGCCTCTCCCCCGAATAAGCCTTTTTTTCCCCTCAGGAACCCAATTTCTTAAAAAACAAACAAACAAAAAAAGGCCTGTTTCCATGTTAGTGGAAAATGGTATTAGGAACCAAGGTTCAGTATGCTTATTGATACTGGATTATCTGTTTCTTGGAGCTTGTAGGAGATAGCCCTGAGAAATATGTGCATATATATATTTGTGTGTGTGTGCTCACAAATATTTATATACAAATCTTGCAATCTGTAAAGTATATAAATTTAATTTTAAATTATTTTAAATGTAATTTAAAGACTACTGTAGTGACATAAAGTTCTGGATAAAAGAAATGAAATCCCCAGCACTTTAAGAGGCAGAGATCAGCAGATCTAAATAAGTTTGAGGCAAGCCTGGTCTACAGAGCGAGTTCTAGGACAGCCAAGGCTACACAGAGAAACTAAGTCTCAACTAAAAAAAAAAAAATCATAGCCACACCAACAGTTCATACAGTTTCCATGTTCCCTTTTAGTCAGTGTCTATATACATAATTATATAGGGTCATACTTCTCTTAATCCTTTTTCACTTAACATGTCATAATCATAAACATGAGTTACTATATAATTTCCACAATCTTCATTTTAAATTGCTCTGAGATATATCATTAGAAATTTCTATTCCTAGACAGTTCACTTATTTCTAGTTTTTGGTATTATAATTTTGAAATGAACATTTTTATACATATGTCCCTTTTAATGTTTTATCAATTTATTGGAAGATTTTTCAATAAATGAAATGAAATTTCTCTGTGGGTTTTAATGTATGTTCTCACATAGAATGAAACATTTACCTGAATTCAAATTATAACTGGAGATAAAGATAAAAAGAGTAATCTTTTTTAACAGACAGTTGAATATATAGTGAAAGATAAAATTTCCAAAGAATTATAGCATGTAAAATAGAGAGGAAGACCATGTAATTCACAGAAATGGGAAACTCAAGAAGCTTTTAAAGGAGGGGGTAATTATGCTGTGTGTGGAAACACCTTGGTAGAGACTGGATTGGGATTGGAATGAATTATGTTAGTGTACAAGGGAGAAGGGAAAAGGGTAATAGGCCATAGAAAGCATTTTAAGTAGAATCATTAGAGTGTAAGAAAACAGAACAGTTGGGAAGAACCTGGCATTTCAGGCAGCTGGACAGTCTGTTGAAATTTGTACCTTGGGCATCTTTGAAAGTGATGAGAAAGGTCAGCCTAATTAGCCTACTGGATAATTAGACCATTAATGGCTTTATGTGCTATTTTTATATTGATAAAATTGGAAAATCATATTAAACCAATGAATTTGTTTTTTGTTTTTGTTTTTCAAGAAAGGTTTTCTTTGTGTAGCCTTGGCTGTCCTGGAACTCACTCTGTAAACCAGGCTGGCCTCCAACACAGAGATCCACATACCTCTTCCTCCTGAGTGCTGGGTTTTAAAGGCGTGAGCCACCCTGCCTAATATGATATTCGTATTTTAGAAATGTACTTTCTAAGTGAAGGGCTGGAGAGGCGGCCCAGAAGTTAAGAGTACACAATGCTTTTAAAGGGACCTGAGTTCAGTCCCTCCCTCACCCCGCCTTTTTTTCTAAAAAAGAAAAAACAAAAGTTTACAAACATGTCAGGCAGTTCTAACTGTCTATAATTCTAGTTCAGCACTGCATTCACGTAGATACACAAATACACATAATTTAAGAGAGAGAGAGAGAGAGAGAGAATCTTTGAAAAAATCCACAAAATTTTCTTAATGAGGGTACTAGAGAACAAAGGTATGGCAGGAACTCCTTTGGAGACAACTGCATCCAGGCAAAAATAATGAGCACTTGAACTTGGGGTAGAAAAGGCAGTGAGAGTGAACTGAGGTACAAAAGAAGAAGGAATTGTTTGTTTAGTATACAGTTAAGTAGTCCTAGGTAACTACTTAGCACTCACTCAGTGTTGTATGTAGTATGTATTTTTGTTAGTTTCTATGTTGAGGGTGAACAAAACAACCACACCTTTTCTTCTTATGTCTAATCTAATGAGAAAAAAACCATATTAATGACCTTTGAAATTACAACTCTCACCAGTAACAAGCAAGTACGGGGTGCTGTGAAAGCATTATAGTATGGGGAGCAAACACTAGAAATAAAGTTGTTTTTTTTTTGTTTTTTGCGGGGGGCTGGGGGTGCCATAGAGTTCGTGCATTTGGAGGCCAGAGGACCTCAGTTCTCTTTTTCTACAATGAGGTTTTTGGAATTGAACTTGAGCTGTTAGGTTTGGCAGTAAGCACTTTACCCACTGAGCCATCTCCCTGGCTGAACAGAGGGTTAGTTAAATGAGTTCTTCCGAAGATGGGGTGGGTGGGCAAAGACTTATGGAGAAAAGAAATTAGCTGGGCCAAAAAGCAAAGAAGAACCATGAAGGCAATGAAAGATACAATGTGTTAATGTTCTGGGCGGGGAAGACCAGTGTGATTCAGTGCCCATATGCGTGAAAGGTTAGACCGTTGGTGAAGGAGCTGTTGGTTATGGAGAGCAGAAACAAGGAGGTACATAATAAGACTCCTAGGTTTTCGGTATGGGCAACTGAGTGTCTGCTGGTATAATTTTCTGGTAAAATTTCAAATTTTAGAAATCTTGTCTAGGGGAAAGGATCTGGGCAGAAGTTATATAGTAATGGTTATTCAGAATTAAATTTATCAGCAGAAGTAGGGGGTGGGAGTTGAGATGAAATCTATATTTTTTTTTGTAATTTGTGAGAAAATCTACTGGGGTTATTAGTATCATCAAAACTGCCAGTTAACACTGAAATGTGTTTGCAAATGCAAGTGTGAAGTATAACTCAGATTATTATAACTCCTTATAAAGACATAACGAATACAAGGAGACTCTCAAGAGTTTTCTGGTTATAGTTTAAAATATGTATTAGAAAACTAATCGATTACAAAGTGTGCGCGGTTGCTGTTGCCACAGCCGGGCGCCGAGGGACCGAGCATCCTGAGGGGCAGGTTCAATGATTATTAAACCCTGAGAGACGCAGACTCTGTCTAGAACAATGCGCACGCGAGCAGTCTGCAGAATCTCAAGATGGGTGGCGGGCCTTGTAGCTTCTGAGGAAAACCACAGGAAAAGGTGACCGTACATACCACGGTGAGCTGAACAGCGGCCCGCCACAACGCCCAGCAGCTGTGTCTTCATCTCTGGACCCTGAATACATAACGTAACAACCATGTCAAGAGGGAATTCAGGTTGTAATTGAAATTAAGACCACCGTATGGTCGAAAACTGCTTATCCTGGACTATCCTAGTAGACCTCCCTCAGCAGAGGGTCTTCTAAGTGTGGTAGAGGGAAGCATGAGAGAGGTGGCAGGGGTGACTGTGAAAAAACGCTCAGCCGAGTTTTGCTGGTCTGAAGATGGAAAAAGATTTGGAGCCAGGGACTAGCTCGTGAGCTGTAGAAGCTGAAAGGGGGCGTCCCAGAGGCTCCAGAGGGAGGCAGCTCTGTTTCATCTTGGTTTTGTGGTACTGAGACTCACTTGGATTCTCGACCTTCAAAACTATATAAAGTAATGCACATTTGTCGTTTTTAGCCACTATATAATTACTTAATTGTGCAGCAACAGGAAACATGTAAACAGCCATTCTCGTTGTTTTTTTTTTTTAAACATTTATGTATATTATGTGTCGTGAGGAGAGGACTCACATATGCCAAATGCATATGGCGGCCAGGGGACAATCTGAAGAAGCTGGTTCTCCCCCTTTACCACATAGGTTCTGGGCGCACACTAC